CCTATTGGGATATCATCAAAACACCCCTAGCCCACGTATACAGGGATGTCAGTTGTAGCCGTATTGGTCTAAAGACACAGGCCAACAAGGTTCTTTGACCAACTTTAAACTTAGTTGGTCCAATAAAAGATATCACATTTACCCGAAGAACCTTGTCTGCCTTTCCCACACATATTCATTCATAGGCATAAATGATCCCACAGCTCACTGCAGAAGGAGATGGGGATTAGCTCTGTAGGCTTGGTTAATTATATCTAGCTACAGAAAGCTCCTTTTCTAGGGTTCATCATGCATGCCATCCTACACTGCCTGCCCTAAGCAGCAGAATTGTGTTATGATTCCTGAGAGGGACACCTAGGTCAAGGTGCGATAACTGCAACTTGCAGTCCCCTTGGAGCGGGGTGTGAACTCACGCCTTTGAAGCTACAGCAAGACACCTTCACTGCTCTGCTACAACTCTCATAGATACAAAGTAGCATGTCTGGCTCCAGTCTAACATGGCTCTAATTCACTTGTGTAAAACTGCTTCAGAAGATGGACTCTAAAGCCACATCTACACAGCATCAAATAGTTCTGGGGAGCACTGCCGTGGAGACTTGTCCCACCTAGTCGCTCGCACTCTGTGAACACCCCATTCCAAAACCTCGTCATGCCTGAGTTTTCCTGAGATAGAGAAACTGGGAGGTGCTGCTGGGCACATGCCAGAAAGTAGCTACATGACATTTTTCTGGCATGTAGCCAGCATGGAGCAGGAGTCAGCAGAAGGCTGTGTTTGATAAAAGTGCTCCCAAGCACTGTCTGGTTAAGGTGTAGACAAGATGTAGCGTCCCAGCCTGGCAAAAATTTGCAAACCTGTTTAAATATATGCATATAATTAGCAACAGTGATGGCTACTGGATTGCTTTGTTGCTTAACGCTAAGCATGTTCTGTGCAGAATCAAGGCCTAAAGCAGAGAAATAATCTGATTACTGTTCTGTAAGAAGGGAAACCATAAGATTGGTGTAAAAGGACTAATAGAACTAAAAGAATTTATTTATATAATGCTAGGTTGACCCATTACAAACATGCCTGCCTCTTGACTGAATTTTTTTAGATCATTGATACAATAATTGGGAAAATGAATAAGCATATTTTAGTTGCTTGGTTTATTAAGATGTTTGAGTTAACTAAAGACTGTGAGGGAGGTTTCTGCTACAATATATATGTGGGAATATTTGATAGGGGCTGTTAATTGCTTGTTGCAAATGTATAACAAATTAGATTGCAAAGTGAGAACCCATTTGGTCAACAGTCAACCAACTAATTAGAGTGTCTCCTTAAAGAATGAGACACTGGGTACAAGATACTGGTTGGGTTTGGAAGTGTTCTTTATCTTGAGAAAAATGTTTGTGTTTGTATTTGTGTTTTGCAAGTCCTGACCTCAGAGCTCACATCCCAACAGCTGAAGGTATGAGCTAGAAATGGAACATTTCCTAGCCAAAAGGCTTTGGCATCTGTGGGCTTGTGGGTCTTGCACTGCCTTCCAACTCAGAGTTCAGGCCCTTAAGCACATCACCTTCTGCAGCCTCCCTCCCCAGGATCACTAGCTCCTTACCTTGCCTCCGTGTCCATGGGAATGCTTCTTTTGCTTTTTCTTATGCTTTTTATGATGTCCATGATGACCACCCGAGGGATAATAACCAGGAGAAACAGGCTGACATCCTGGTCCCCCAGGCATCATGCCTTGGGGTCCATGAGGGTGGGGTCCATGTGGGTGGGCTCCATGAGGATGGGGGTGGAGGTGGGGTCCACCAGGCCCAGGATACATGCCTGGGGGTCCACAAGGTGGAGGAGGGTGGCCAGAACCAGGATAACCTGGGACTGGGCATGCTGGCATGCCAGGCCCTGGATAAGGGCCAGGGTATGATCCAGGAGGAGGGGGATAAGGCTGCATGTTGGGTGGTGGCATCCCACCAGGGGTTCCTGCCAGAAAAATGGGGAAAAAACGAAGAACATGAGAGAGCCAGACACCTTCACCCCTTTCCTCTGGTAGCATCTCCGCAACGCAATGAGAACTCCATACAGCATTTCTCTAGCATTGGACAGCAGGGTCCGCTAGCACAGACAAGCTCTTCCCAGTGCACTGTGCCCCTTAGAAACAACCTAAGGGGAGCTGGTCCCTCCTGTGCTCCCTTGAGCCCATACAGAAGTCTCTGCATTGTTGGGAATAAAAGCAGTATGTGCTTCTCAGGAACAGCAGGGACCTGTGACCCCGGGCTTTCTAATGAACCTGCCTAATGAACAGCAAGGAAGAATAATGCAGTTAATGCTGCAATCACTTAGGGCCAAACTGTGCCATACCACCTCCTGTTAATTGGTGCACTGTTCCCAGTCTCAGAAGGCCTGCCTGCTCCTTACAGGTTGAGCCCAGAAGCAGATTGGAGCCCTCATCCTTGACTATTAAGCCTTGACGATTACAAACACTTTCACTTAATCATGAAATAGCCTCATGCTGCAGTCCTTACCCAGGCATGTCTCCCAGTGATAGCCATGATCTCTGGCCCAGAGGTCAACGTTTACTTTGCTCCCCACACACACCTTAAACCAAACCCAGAGCAAGAGAGAACTTGGCCTGTGGTGCAGACCTTCCCAGGTACCATGTCACCAGCTGAGACAGGGCCTCACCTGCATTGGGATTCCACATTCCAGATGCGTCCAGCACCACCTGTGAACGAAAGATACACAGGGTTAGAAGTTTTCTCTTCTCAGCTTTCTGCAGGTCCCCATTTATCCACCTCAAGCACTTGGAGAAGGTCTCTGCCCCAGCAAAGCAAACCCACTGGAGATCTCTGTCATCCAGGAGGCAGACGCAGCATTGCCCATCATGCAACCTGCTTCTCCATGGACTAAGATAGTGCAGGGGACAGGGCTAAGATCCCATTTCCTCCCTGAGAGGCAGCACCTCTCAGTTTCTCTATCTCAGGAAAACTCAGGCTGTGATGTGGTTTTGGAATGGGGCATTCACAGAGTGCAAGCGACTAGGTGGGACAGGTCTCCACGGCAGCGCTCCCCAGAACTGTTTGATGCTGTGTAGATGTGACTTTAGAGTCCATCTTCTGAAGCAGTTTTACACAAGTGAATTAGAGCCATGTTAGACTGCAGCCAGACATCCTGCTTTGTACCTAGAAGACTTGTACCAGAGCAATGAAGGTGCTTGCCCATTCCTTTCCAGGTGGGAGGGGAGCTGTCTCTGCATCCCTGCAGGCAGGCACTGTGCTTCCACCTGGCTTTTCCACACTTGTGTCTCATGCTAGTGAATGACACAGGCACCAGACCCATGCAGTGTGGAGGACACCTGTGCGCTGATGCATACTGTGTCATGAGTGCCTGTTCAGCACAAATTCACTTTTAGGATGTTTCTCTAGATTCATTCACACGTGGGAAGGCATTAGCATGACCAACCACTGTCACCTGCCGCTCACACGACAGCCCCTGTGGCCCATGCTGCTCGTATCACAAACTGTTCTCCCCTTTGTACCCCACAATGGGACCTCCCTATAGAACAGGGAAGAGCAGCCATGGAGGTTTCTCCCATGCTCCCCCCATCCCTGGCCCCAGTTTATCTCCCCCGTTTCCTCCTCCTCTTGGACAACTCAGGAGGGCGAGAGCTCTCCCTTGGAACCAGCTCCAGCACGTCCTCCAGGCAGGCAGGAGATGGCAGCTCACACCAGCTTCTCCCAGGTGCACAAAGGGGGGGGTGCCGCTTATGTGGCTTTGCATGCATACACATAAACGCCCATACACACACGCACACACAAGGCCCCTTTTCCTCCCCTTCCTCCTCCTAGATTCAAGTCCCTACTCCGCCAGGGGCCAGCTGCATGCCCCAAAGCACTTCTTTGCCACATTGTTTCTAACATTGTCATTATCATCACTACTGGAGGGCCCTGATTGCAGTTGGCATCTCTAGGCAGTGGAATAACCAGGGTGGGGGGACCAGGGCAGATGCCTGGGCACTGATTTGCAGTAAGCATGTGGAAAAATACTAGCTGCCATCACAGCTGGACAATCACAATCGCAGCAGCAGTGGCAACTGGAGGGTGTGTGGCAGATGCCCCCAGGGCCCTGCCATGGCATGCCTCTGTCTCGTGGGCCTCCTTTGATACATGCCCCAGTAAACATGGCTTCCCAACACTGGCTGGGAAGGTCTTGCCCATGGCCTCAGTGTGAAACCAGGTCAGGGGTTTCAGGTCAGGAAAGAATTTTTCCCCCAGGTCAGACTGGCAAGGACTACGGGGGTTTTAGTCTTCCTCTGTAGCAGGACCTGGACTTCTTCCTGATTCCCTGGGCATAAAATTCCCTGCTCTTACAATGGCTGTGCCCTTTCCCTTGTTCTTCACCTACAACAGGTGGTGTGGGGGGAAATTGTGTCTCTTTTTTTAGCTCACAGTACTTTTGTGGCTGAAAGAAGCCCGGAGCGAAGAGCACATGGGCCTATTCAGACAAACGATTGCCTGCAAATGTTGAGAACGGGCTTTGATGGCCCAGGAGCACAATAGAGACCAACCTGTTGCTATTGGCCTCAAAGGACAAGCTTTCTGTAACTTCCAGCAAGGCAGAACGAGGTTAGCCCAGTCCAAAGTCGCTGGCACAGCCAGGGAGTGTTGTGTTACCACCCATTCAGCGCCACGTTCACTGCAGGCAGCCTGTTTGTTTTCCTTATCTACCTGCTTGAATCATCAATTGCCCTTGCTCTGACTATTGGGTGCCAGTACCAGCCGTGGCTTGGGCACTGCACAACTTTATCTCATGCAGGTAGTGCACAGCTGCAAACGGCCCATGGGCTGGCACAGAGGAAAAAGCAACGCCTACCTCCCAGTGCTGCTCTACAGCACACTGTATAGCATGTCCTCCTCTCCACTCCCCATTGCCAGACAATCACCTTCCTTTCCACTGCTATTCATTCAGGCCTAGAGTGGGGCCTCAGACACTGTATCGAGGGAGTACTGCCCCACCTAGGAGCAGCCCCAGGAGGTGTTGTTGCCCAGCTAATCAGCCGTCACAGCCCAGTCCTGCTTCCTCCTTGCTCCTGGAGTTATTTACTCTGACACTGGCCAACAACAAACTCCCCCTCACCCCCATGCTGGCTCAGCTCCTTAGAAAAGAAGGGCAATGCCTGAAGGCAAGTTGGCTGGAATGAAAGGCAACTAGCTATTCTACTAATGAAGCAGGTTTTAACAAAACAATTAAATCCTAATTAAAAATAGGTTTCCCTCAGGGATTATTACTGCTCTGCTCTGTGTAAGAGTGGCACGATGGACATGTTTAGAGAACAAGGCTCTTCCCTTTCCCTGTAAACCCAGCTGGGCTGAAGCCATTCTTGATGTCATTGCACTAATTCCTTTTGGCTTGACGTGTTTGGGATCAGCAGCATTCTGTGTATTGGGTCATAAACAGGCATCACAACATTTAATCCCTTCCATAAGATGATCAAGTTCCATCTTGAAAACAGTCAGGGTTTTGCCTTCCCTACTCTGTTGGGAGGCTGCTCGGCCACCTCACCACTCTGATGGCTAGCACCTTCTGATGTCCAGCTAAGCCACGGCCAATCTAGACTCATTTAGTCTCCAGAAACCATTCATCTTTTACTTAAACAGCTGTTTCTCCTTCCCTTCTTTGCACCTGCCCCAGCTCAAAGTCATCATTTTTAAATAGTGCACTGCCCACAACTGTATCCTGTATTTCAAATCAGGTTAACTCTCTATGGGAAGTACCTTACCTGATACATCAATGGATTAATAACTTTTGGTATTTGGCAAAGTCCATTAACACACTCCTATTTTCTGTGTCAAGGTCATCATTAAAACATATTGAATAAGATCGGGCCCAACTCAGTCTTTAAACAAACTGTAAAATTGTTGTAAAGTGACACAAATCAGGAGATATTCCAGTGCATTTAGCTCCTGCATCACATAAACAACTCAGATACAGCCTGAGGAAGGGTACTGGATGCTTGAAAGCTCGGCCAACAGCTCTCCCAACTATATAACTAATCCAGCAAAAGATATCACACAAAATCCTTGCCCCTCATACATATTTTTACAGTGAGCCACTTCACTAGGCATAAGTGCATTACAGAACAGAGCAGTCTTTCTGCAAAAGCCTTTCTGAAGTCCAAAGCACCAGCATCACTCTCAGCAATCTAACTACATAGCCACCTGAGGTTGAAATCACAATGTTTATCCTGACAGGAAAGCAGCAGAGCTGGTGTTTCATGTGGTATTCTTGGCTTACCTAGTGATCAGCCAAAAACAGCACTTTGCTGGGCAAGAGTGCACCCTGCAAATGCAGACTCCTGTTCTCAAGAGCTTATCATCTAAATAGACAAGAAAGGGTTAGGTAGGACTTTTGGTGGGAACATGTATGCAAAATGAAGAAGGTGATGGTACCAGTTCCACCATTTCACTTTGCTCTTAGAGTCAAAAGAAGAATGAAGCTTTTTATTTCAACACCAGAGGCACCTCTCAGGATGCCGTTTAGCTCCCATATTCCCAAGTCAAACTATAGACAAAATTTGCCCTTTATTAATCTTATTTGTCTGAATATAAATACAAATAAAATTACAAAAGCCAAATTTTGCCTATAGTAAAGAGCAAATTTTGTCTATATGTCTGTACTTATTAAATTCATATATGTAATTATATATTCAAATTAATATTATATTATATATTCAAATTTATATATATAGAGAGATGCATCGCGCTCTCTCTCTCTCTCTCTCTCTATATATATATATAATATGAATTTGACAAATACAGACATCTATATCCCCCTCCCCCCCCAGACACCCACAAATATATATTCTCATTGTTATGAAGGAAAGGTGGGTGAGAAACAAAATTAATTAAAAGCTTGGAAACATGTGCTAGGTAATAGGAAACCATCTACAACACTGGCACTTGGAGCTTACATACCTGATGGTCCCTGTAGCTGCTCGTCCAAAATAAGCTAAAATCTCACCACTGAATAAACTGCATGTCTTTTAAACACAACACCTGCCCCAGTCGTGCTTTGGTAGCCAGTCAGGTAGTAGAAAGTGCTGTGACCAAGAGACGCTGTGGGCAGGGTTATTCAATAAAGCTGTGTAACTGGCTTTTCACCTCTTTCCTTGCTTGTTGTCAGGTACTGTAACCATGAGAGTGTATGATATTGTCAATACTCCCCACCCAGGTGAAGTGCGAAGGTCATTTTTAACTGATTACAGGTTGGCCAGAGGCTGGATGTGGGGTGTTGCTTGCATTTATGCTCCAAAGTCAGCAGCGATAAAATGATCAGCTGATCGAAATGCGTCAGACAGCATCTACACAGACTTTGTCATGGCTGGATTCTGCTCCCCCGCTAGTATCAGTGCAAACTCTTGAGGCCTCCTCTGGGAGTTGGATCATGTAGGGGGGGTTAAGTGTGTACCATACCTCTGTGGTAGGATAAAGTGACATCCACTGTGTGGAAATAAGAGATATGGGCTTCCCCAGGCGTCTGAAAGGAAGAAAACTGGCTTCAAAGTAAACTTTTGTGAGAACTCTGTAGGGGATGGGATAGGTATGACTAGGAAATACCATACAGCTTCTATTCTTTGCTTCTGCAATGGCCCCAAGAGGCTGTTCTAGTTTCTATCTGAGGCCAGGCCAAGAACAGCAGCACAAAAATGGGATAGCGCCCACATTCTCCCCTCATTCCTAGCCTCAACTCAGCTTTGGCAGAACAAATCCCTGACCCCCACGTCCTTCAGGCCAGGTCCTGTTTTGTGTAAACAAGTCCTTTTGTATCAAAGCACCAACTCTAGCCAGGAGAAGGAGGGTCTAGAGCACCAAGTGCCCAAAACAGGGCACTTCATGCCTCCCCTCCTCCTACCTGTGCCTCCCTCCATGGCGGGGTAGTTGGGTTTAGCAAGAAAGAGGGCACCCACTGTCCTCTCCTTCCCTGCAGACTACGACTAGCAGTAGCTGGGAGCTGAAACAGGAAAGCACAGGGGGGCTTTGGGACTAGAATTAATTAAGGAGAAGGTTGTTTGGGGAGCTAGCTGCTCCACTGCACCCGGCAGCTGCGAGAACCCCTGCCACAGGGCCAGAGTCACCACACTGCTAGAGCCCCAGCATGTTGGTAACACCTGGGGATGGGCCCACACGCTGGGGTTGGAAGAGACAGGAGAAGGGGAAGCATAGGAGGAGTCAGGATGCTTAGACAGGGGTGTGTAGTGTTGCCAATTGTACATTGTGTTATTCTAGAAGGAAATGTGTAGCTTTAGTGGGCAAAGCATATAGTTTCTTTACACATTTGAGAAAGGCAGAGGGGATTACAGCTACTCAGGGGTTTGGAATACAACTACTGCCCTGGGAGAACTGGCTTCATGGCAGAGCACAGGCAGAGAGTCAGTGATGGTAGATCAATCCCATGTGTGTTGTATGGCTCATATATCCATGTGTGTGTCATTGCCAGGAAAATTATTACAAGGGGAAAACAATGCTTTAAGAGCATCTCCTGGAATGAGTGCAAGGTAATCCAACTGAGCCGTGAAGCCAACCAGAGATGTTTCTTGTGTCAACACAGCTATTATAAAATTCACTTGAACTTGTGCTGGATATAGGGTAATATACTGTCCCTCTGCTATTCAGTCTGGGAAAGGCACCACTAGAAATGCATTGGTAGCTCATACAGGAGCTGATGTGCTCTGTCCTACCCATCTGACTGGCTTCTAACCAAATAACAGCTGGTTAATACCTGCTAAGGGCCTTGTTACACAGTAATTTTAGGTGGCTTCTGGAGCTCTGAACTCCTGGACTGGCTGCACATTAACACCTTTTAAGTGGCTTAAAGTACTCACTGTTGGTTTAACGTTATGCTGCTCCAAGGCAGGATTAGCTCTAATTCACCTAATTTTACTCCTATTCCATTAATTTGTGGCCACTCTCCACAGCTGCCTTTCCACCCAAGTTGAAGCCCTCCAGCATCCAGGAGGCAGTGGGTGAGGAGGAACACTGGGGCAGTGGGGCTGGGCACAGTATCTCATCTCCTGGGGACATCTGGCAGAGCACACACCACGGTCACTGCAGCACCTGGTGGCCATGGTGCCACCCACACCAGTTCTGCCACCCTTAGGAGCAGAGTGAACCAGTCTGAGCCCGGGGGGGGGCGGGGACTGGATGCTGCACTGCACCCAGTCCTGACCCTAGCTCCCACTCCTGCCCCTGCTCACCAAGCCTTTAGCTGCAAGTCATATCTGGGCAAGTGAGGGGCAGTCAGATCAGGTTTTTCACTTTATCATGCGACTGCTCCACTAAGCCAAATGACACTAAGCTGATTAACATTTGTTCAGCTGATAGCATAAGGTCTGACAAGACCCTTAAGTTTATTACTTGCTAACATCCTGATACCTAATGTCCCTACAGCAGAACCCCCCCTTTTGTTACTAAGGGTGAATTATTATGCTAACCCATATCACAATCCATTATCTGATTGTGTGGGGAGGAGGTGGTGATTTAAACTGATTTGCCTTTCACACGCAGGACTTTCAAACACCCTATCAGTTAGACGATGGCTCAGCGTTGGATCCAAGACCATCCCGAGACACTGATGTGCAAAATCACTCCTGCCTGATCTGCAGGAGTTCACAGGGGCCAGCTGGGTAGGACAACCTTTCATAAAACTGTGTGCGTCTTCAGAAGGTTACTATCACCATTGTCATCATCCTATTGTTTATAAAGCCCATGAATCATAATAGCTAAGGCAATGAACATACAGTCCGATCATCCTCCCCACCTGTTCCTTCTTCAAAAAATCCCTTTCTGGCTGAAATTTTATCAGAGGAAACATTCGGAGGAAGATGTCCGGTATTTGATAGGACAGCTTTGGAAGAGGAAGATTTTCACTCTTCGTTGTGTGTCCCTGAAACCTCTCTCAGAAATAGCAGGGAGCTGAATGTGTTTGCCCTCCACGAGAGCTTGCACCTTGGGCTACCTAGAAAAGAATGACTGGGCAGGATTACTCCCTCCAGCAGGTTTTCTTGAAAGATGGGGAGAGTACACAATGTTTTCCTTCCAAATTCCACCCCTTGGGCAGGGGTCCTGTCCCCACCCCAAAAAACAGGCTGCATAGCCTACCTAGTGGTTTCTAGGACCCTCATGGAATAAAGAGGGAGCTTAGGCCATCTTTGGAAGGACTGGCCCCAATAGTTTCTTGCTTCAGGGCAGCAGGGCTCCACTGAAGTTTTCCTGCTGGGCCTTCCCCAACCAAAAAATCTCCAATACAGACTTGATTGCAAGAGGATCTTATTCATGGTGGCATCACTTGCACTGAGTGTACTGAAACATCCAAACCTGCATGTCAAGACACCTACTTCTAGCCCCAGAGCTGCTGCCAGGGCACTGGAGGAACCTGTGTCCCACTGTAAGGCTGTGCATGAAATCATGTATCCTCACCAGAAGCCAGACACGTATGGTTTAAAGAAATAAGATTGTTCTCCCAGAGTCTGGTCATTCCCATTGCTGCAAATCTCTTACCCTCTAGATTGCCTGCTGAAAATAGAGGGCATGATAGACCTTAATAGGCAGGAGAGGAAAGCAGTGTCTCCATTATGTAATGCCAACTGCTCTTGGAAACTATGAGACTTCCCACTTTGGGAGTCTAAGAAGAACACATAAAAAGTCACTCTGTGCTTTCTAAAAAGTGGCAGCAATTCCCCCTGAAGGTAGAGCTGGAACAGCCAAGACAGCACAGCTCCCAAGACACAGACAGTACCGGGGCTGGCAGGCTAGGCAATAGGCAGGCAGAATGTGCTCCATAGGGCACCTCAGGGTGATTTGAGGTCTCCATCAACATCCCAGGCAGCCAAGCCCCTCTTCTCCATGGCTCACACATCTGCTCTTGTAGGAGATGATGGATTTTTATGCCACAAGCACTGACCCAGGAGTTTTGTGCACCTGCCACAGGTTAATGTGTGCAGGGTAAAGGTAAGACTGCCCATAACCCTAGGGGTTGGTTGCATCAGGAAGAGTCTCATTGTGGAGTCTGTCTCACCAGAGATGACATCTGTTGGAACAAAAGACAACACAGGAAACGTGACCATTTCACATTTGTATTCTCTGAAATTTAGCCCATCAAAGCCGGGATTCAACTCTGGCGTCTCCCATAGTGACTATCTCCTTCACACTCCCCGGCTCTCGAGCAGTCTCAGCACAAATGCAGCGCTACTCTTGGCCTCTTCCAAGAAACTGGAAACTTTTCCATACATCTGTGCACATGAAAGAAAAGTCCATCGTTAGCCTCATCAATGACCACAAAACCATGCCTCTTCACTGCGCTATGTCACAGGACCTCTCCTCTCTCTGGCATGGTGTATAATCAGCTGCGTGCAGCACCCATTTCTGACTGGCTGACTCAAGACATTGGCTTCCAGACCATGCTCCTGCAAGGTCACTTGCATTATGTGGGTGTGGTTCCAAGCCAGTTTCATTTCCAGAGCCTGCAGGACACTCCCAGTCTCAGAAACAAAAGAGCACAGTGCAAACCAAGGTCTTCTCAGTCACTGCTATGTTAACTGCCTGGCATCAGGCCACAGGCCACAGCCCACAGCAGGTGTAATTCCTACTGTATATGGGTTCCATTGAAACTAATGCTTTGTGTTTTTTTGACAAACCCAGCAGTGATGTGACTTTCATGTGGTGTAAACATGGCAAAATGGATGAAAATAAAAACAGAGATTAATGTAACTTGCATGGATGTGGCTTTTAGTGAGTGCACGTACCCCATCTAACTTCTACTCTGAGTGAAGCACAGCATGAAACTCCATTTATGGTCAGTGCAGATAAAGCCATGCTCTCTCATACCCTTGCTATGACTCTAACTAATGCTCATTTTTCAACACTGTCTTCCTTTCACAGGCTTTTGGCTTATGATCATTCCATCACAACTCTTCACGAACACCTAATGACTTCGGAGCCTGTGCTGACCTTCCAGATTTTGGAACACATGCCTCGCCGGGACCTCTTGGGGCACTGAGACCAGTCCCCTGCTATCACAGGCTCCATATCACATAAGACTGTTCATTAACTGATTAAGCTCTACTTTAAGGTGGGTTAGATTTCCTGCCTCCACTACTTTTGACTGTTTCTCTGACAATGGTTAGAAACTTTGATGGCTAGAAACACTCCTTTGATGGCTAGAGACCTTCTTTCTAGCCTAAATTCATATATGACTAGTTTATACCAGTTTGTTCTTGTACCATGTTTTTTTCCTTTAGCTTTAATACCATTTTTCTCCTCCCTGGTGACTTAGCTCCTGATGCATTTAGAGAGAGAAATTGAGTCATCTCACCATTTTTTTTACTAGACTAAACAGGACAAGCGGTTCTAAGCTTCTCTCCTAAGATAGTCTTTCCTGATCATGCTACTTGCTCTTCTCTGCATCTCTTCTAGTCTGATTCATTTTTCTTGAATATGGCAGACAACAATTGTGCACAGTGTTCCAGATGAGGTCTCCAGAATACTTAGTGTAATGTCATTAATGGTTTCCCATCTCTAGGCAAGACACCTCTCCTGATATATTCTCAGATGATGCTTTCATTTTCAGTGGCTGTATCACATTGGTGGCTCATATTCAGCCTATGCTTAACCAAAACACCCAGGTTTTTTCTCCTCCTCCTCCGTCATTTCTAGCTAATAAGCCTTCAGTTTATAACAGGAAGTCTTATTATCGGTCCCCCAAGTTTGTAATTTTGCATTTTGTACTGCAGAACTTCCTCCAATTTCTACTTCTCCAGCCTTCAATGTCATTCAACTCCACGTCTGATACTCCAGTCTTCCATTACATGAGTAATGCCTCCTAATCGTGTGTCATCAGTGGATTCCATTAATATTAATTCTTGTGCCCAAGTCACTAATGAAAATGTTAATTCAGATTGCTCCCAAGACCAGTTTTTGAGGAACTCCACTAATAGTCCACTTCCATCCTGATAGCTCCCCTTCTGTACAGACTTGTCATCTCTCCTCTCTAGCCAATTCCTATCCACCTTCCAATTCTTGTACCAAGCCCTTCTTCTCCAGTGTAGCTAATACTTTAGAAGCCAAATTACATGACTTAAGAGCCTGAATCCACTTAGGCAACTTTGAAATTTTTATTCAGTAGCTCAGCAGATTGTCCCTCTTTGCATAACCTGGAACCCATTTCTCTCTTCAGACCACCCCAATCTCAGCTTCCCAGTGAAAGAAGGTCACAGTGCATCTGGCATTTGAGAGGACAGCTTGAGAAAAGGTGGGGTGTGGAAAAGAGAAAAAACACCTCATGCCCAAGGGGACTTCTGACCCATGCAGTGGAACTAAAGTGCAGGGCCTGCCTCTGAGGGACTGGATAGGAATAGCTTATCAGATCCCAGAGACAAACTGCACCTGCCAGATACTCCAAGTAACAAAGTATGAGAAGCATTAAACACAACATTTTAGCCCTGGTTTGGCTTTCTGACTGGTGTGAAGCACTTTAATATCAGGAGCCCACTGGGGCAATAATGCCGGGCTGCAAGACTCCAATAAAAAGGCCATTGTTTTATTAGGGTGTTGCATAGTTTTGCAAAAGATGGTTTGATTTGTTGGAATATCTTTACTGCACATCTCTTCAGGTCTCCAGCCTGTAAGAACCTAGCAATAGTACTCCTGATCCCTTGGTCACAATGGAAGGAGGGAGATCTCATCACCAGCAGCAAGTGGAAAGAAGGATCTAGTGCACAGCCTATAAGCAAACCTTCCTAAGCCATGGGTAGATGAAATGAGGGGCATGTGTACACGACACTTTAAAGTGGGTTAAATGCTTCTGCACCACTTTAATGGTGTTGTTGTTTGCCCATGTTTGTTGCTCTGCAGCTGCAGAATGAAGCACTGGGCTCCAGGCAGCTCAGGGGCTCTGCGGGAAGCCCATGCAGGCAGCCTGGCAGCAGCTCGCCCAAGAAAAGGCAAGCTCTGACCAAGAAAAGCGGTGAGCCTGATCTTTTTTTCCCCTGGAGCCTGCCTGAGCTGTGCAGGGGCCCGGTGCTTCCCTCTGCAGCTGCAATGCCCCCAGAACCAGCGGAGCCGGGTGCTGCCGATGCCGTGGAGGGAAACACCAGCCCCGCCGGCAGCCCAGGGACTGCTCCACCCGCCAGCAGCTCGCTCGCCTCCCCCCCAGGATAGGCAGATAAGTTTGGATGTGTGCACAACATGGGGGTTTAAAGGGTTGAAAGGACCCTAAATTGAAGCAGTGTTTTTAAAAAACCCACCGCTCCAATTTAGGGTCCCCCATCACATACTGTGAATTAGTCCCCAGACACTCTTGGTGTCCCATGCTGCCTCTCATTCTGGACCCAGAGGCAGCTTCTCCTTACAGCCAAGCCATCTCTCCTTCATTACAGCTACAGAGCCTTTGTGCGAGGTGAAACATCTTCCTTATACAGGAAATGGAGCCCCTGCTGCATATGCTTTTACAGGGAATTCTAGCCTGTATTTCAACCCCACACGCCATCTCAGTAATCATGTCCTCTCCTCACACAGAATGTGGGCTGGACTTATGTGACACATTCAGGAGCCACTACATCTCCTTACTGCATGCATTCAGTTAGAAGCGAAGGGAACCAGAAGTCTTACTTACCATTTTCTTAAACTCCTCATCTGTTATATCTTTGAGATTGATCATTACGTTGAAATAGGCACCAAACACTCCAGCTTCTAAAGCTTTAGCTGCCACCTAAAGGCAAATTTAAATTATACTTAAGAAGGCTTAATGTCTATTTTTAATCCCTTCACCATCAAGCCAGAACTGCATTTAATTTAAGCCTTTATGGCAAAGCTTTTACTGCTATAAATTGGAATTATTTTCAACTTTAATGGTATGACACCAATTTATGCCCACAGAGGGCCTCATGCTGTCATTTACCCCTGTCCATCTGTAGATCTCAAAATTCTTCAAATTTGGAGAGAGCATCATTGTTTCCATTTTACAGATGGAGAAACTAAGGCAAAGGGAAGTTATTGTGAAGGTGGAAAGGGGTGACAAGTTTTGGGTAGTGGAACCCAGCAAGTATTTAGGCAACTAAAATAAGTGGCCAAGTTTGAAAATGTTGGCTAAGATCACCCAAAATCAAACAAAGTCAGTGGCAGCATTTCTGACTCTCATACTGGTACTGTACTCTGGGCCCCCGGACCAGGCTGACTCATGTTAGTATGGGGTTTGGGAGAAGCTTCAGGGAGCTACACTAACAGGGAAGATCAAAAGTGTATGTGTGGCTATACATGTGCTTGGGGGTGGGGAGGGGCCATTTTAATTACAGCGGTTCTCAGACAGCCGCTCTAATCAAAACAGCTCACTGCCATGTGTATTAAGTCCCCCACATTGTAAAATGGCCACAGGTACACTTTAACTAAAGCTCATTCCACCAGCTTCAGTGAAAGCACCGTGCTGGAGCGTTTGAATTAGAATGCAGAGCAGACTTGATTAATTGAACCTGTTCTGACACGTTCTAATTAGAACGTGAACCAGCACATCTATAGGCAGCCTTTAGTGCCAACACATTTCTCCACCTGCTGGGCACTAGATGTCCCACTAGATAAGTCAGTAGCCTGCAATATAGGAGACCCTGGGTAAGTCCCCTAATCTGCCACAGAGTCTATAAGGGGCTCACACAAGTACTATAGACCATTCTATTTCCTAACAATGGCAGACTTTCACTGTATCCCCTGTTCTTGGGGCTCCAAAGCAGATTTCTTTGAGGCTGCACCAAACTTTTTGAAACACTGCAAAAGATTCCAGGCCCCTTCCTGGGCCCATACCTGAATATCTGATTTACATGCAAGATTCCCATGCCGAGCCATCTCCTTTAAAGTAGGCCACAAGGAATTCACCTTCTCTGTCATTGCAAAAGGGACATTCACAGCCTTCTTCAGCCCCTGCTGCATAGCAGCTTCACGCCTACAAAAGGTAGGTGAACCAGGGGAAAAACATAATCAATGAGTCTGGATCAGGCAAACCAGGCACAACAGTCTGCTGGAGTAACAGAGTATCCTAGAAATCAACCTAGCAAAACCAACAGGCAGACTATACTGCGGGACCTGAACCTATTCAGCCTCCACAAGAGAAGGCTAAGGGGGGACCTGGTGACTGTCTATAGACTCACTAGGGGGGACCAGAGGGGTTTGGGGGAGACGCTGTTTCCCCTAGCGCCCGCTGGCATAACAAGGAGTAATGGGCACAAGCTGATGGAGAGGAGGTATAGATTGGACATCCGCAAAAACTACTTCACGGTTAGGGCGGCTAGGAGCTGGAACCAACTTCCAAGGGAAGTGGTGCTGGCCCCTACCCTGGGGGTCTTTAAGAAGAGGCTGGATGCCTACCTGGCTGGACTCGTTTGAGTCCCATTTCTCTTTTTGGGGTTTTTTGTTGTTCTCCCGCCCTGGCGGGGGGTCGGGCTAGAAGATCTACTAGGTCCCTTCCGACCCTTAATCTATGAATCTATGAATCTATAAGTTTATATTATTTTACTCACTCAATTAAACTGGCTAGATGGATTTCAGTACATAGAAGTGTATGTCAGTCCAAAGTTTGCAGTGTCAATACGAGGAAAGATCAATGTAGGACAAACATTCAAAATACAAAATCCTACTCAAAGGAGTCCTCCACACTCCAGTATGGCTCCCTGCGCTCTCACAGCCCAGGAAAAGGCAGATGTTAGTTTAGCCATATGATACAAAGGTCTCACATACATATGCACACACACACTTTGGGTGCGTCTACATGACTCCATATGGCGACATTGCTATGGCACCATGATTTAGCACTTCCAAAGTAACCGCCTGTACTGTGCTGTGCACACAGCGCACGGTTAGATTTCACCCCTACATTGCTGTAGTGGTGCACTAAAACAGGGGAGCGCACCTACCAACATAGCTGTTGATCATGTGCAGACCCACATGATCGTTACACTGCTGTAGCGCCCTGTACAGCAACGTAGCACGTCGCTACGTCACCATAGGACAATGTGTAGACATGCTCTTTAAGACATAACCAAAGCCTGTGGAAGCCAAATTCTAGTTCTTCTATAGATTTCAGTAGGTTTGATTCAGGACTTCTCACAATACCCACTTTTCTCTTTCTTCAGAGGTGCTCTTAGGCAGCTTCACTGCATCCTGTAGACAGATAAACAAAGTACATTGAACCAGAGGATGGCAGAGCTGGTTAGTGGGTATAGGAAACCTAGTTCCAATGCACTACAGTGCCTCACACACTTTGAACCTCTGGCCTCTCTCAAGGGCCTCAGGCTGAATCTCTCTGCATGAAGGGTGGGAATGGTTGGACGAGGTCTAGGCATTTGAAGACAAAGCACTCTGTGGTGTCATACTCCCCCTTCAATGCTGTAGGGTCATCTGCAACACTGGCACAAATTAGAGCAGCCTGGCAGCTGCTCCAAGTCACATAAAGGCTGGGGCTCATACTCATCTTTTAAATGAGGACAGTGCAACTGTCCCATTGATGCTGCCTTCTCCTCTCTCGTATGCTAACAGTAGTTTCGGTGCAGGACATGCTCTGCTCCATGGGAAGTGTGACTACACTGTGTCCTGCCTTTACTGACTGTTTACTTTGATGAATGCACATTTCACCCTACTCCCCTCATCCCCAACCACTTTGAAAAACTGATCTCACAGGGTTGGGACTGCAGTAGAAGCCTGGCTAGGCAAGAAAGAGAGAACTGGAAAGACCAGCTGTGCAATGACTGCAAACTGCCAGAAAACATTAGAGGCAACCCTGCCACTCCCATTGCCTTTGGCACTGGCACGCAAAGCGAAGTTTGGAGACAGAGCTAGCAGGACCATACAGGCCGCAGAAGGGTTCACCTAAGGCAGCAAATTGAGTGGGGTGGCAAAAACGCAGCTGCACTTTGCTTCACACCAGGCCCTGGAAGATGCAGACAGCTGGAAGCAGGCAGGACCTAGGCAGTGGATGGGGACAGTGCCGAGGGCAGTGCTGTGGGGCTTCAACCCATCTGCTTGTCCCAGGCCCTGGTCATGCTCTGTGCCTGGGCATGCTGATGGGGGAGTCTGCAGAGAACTGCCTCCATCTCCATAGGACAGGGTGCAGCCAGGAGTGGGAACCCCACGGGTAAGGAGGTACAGATAGGCCAGCACTGGGGAGATGAGCCCCACATGCACACAGTGGCTCAGTCTGGGTGGAGGAGCCACAGCACGGTCCAGAGTAGCAGCCAGCAGGGTACACTGGAGGAAGGGGAGCCTGGCCCACCCTGACCTGGAGCCTGTGGGGTAGCCAGCTGGGCATGCCCACACCTGCCCAGCTGTGTGGGGTGAAAAGCTGGGGTGGTGAAGCCATGGGGGTGCCTGGGTCCCTGCCTGGCCTCTGGCTCCCTTACCGAAGTAAGCAGGGCCTCTGCGGGTAGCAGAGCAGGAGGGGTTGGTACTGGCACTGCTGCAGAGGGGTGGGGGCAGGGCAGGCAGGACAATCAGTCAGGGCCATTTTGCCCCGGTAGCAAAAATCCTTTCCCAGAGAGCACCAGCCAGGGCGTGGGAGCACTGCAGCCAGTTTTCGGCTGGTGCGATTGGCTGTGGGGGACACCCCCAGGTCATTGAGACTGGCTGTGTGGGGACCTCTGCCCCAGTTGCTGACTGGTCACTGGGGGGGCATGTGACCCCCCCTAACTAAGATGGCACCAGTCACCCATGGCTTCACTGACTTCAGCTGAGCTGCAGGAATCTGTATTAGCTGAGCATCTGGCTCACTGTGTTTGTTATGGTGCCTCTCTGGCTCTATTATCAATACTAATGTGAAAACAGAAACAGGAAGCAATGACTACGTAGATGTTAACAGGCTTGTGCTGTGGCAATGTTTTTACTGGCCTCCATCCAGCTGCCAGAATTTAGCAGTATCAGTCACCCCTAAGGCAGGGATAAGTTGGTGTCCTACACGGGATAACCAATAAGGCAGCCAAAATTTTGCAGAGAATCCCAGATAACATCCTCCCTTTACCCAAGACCTCATGATTGGCATTACAAGCCAGCTGAAAGGGAATGAGAGACGGGTGAAGCCATTAAAATTGGAGATGAGCGCTGGAGAGATGGGTGGTAGGCACGGCAGCTAAAAATGTCACTTACCATGTAACTGGTGAAAGCCTGGGAGTCTGTGTCTACCATTGCGATCAGCTCGTTCATGGCCTGGTGGAAAGGAGGGATCAGATTCCTCATGACTGAGTCCAGCTCCTCAAACTGGCGTTTCCCATATGTCATCAGGCCCACCATGCAGCCCAGGGCTGCCCCCTGGAATAAGTCATGATAAAATTTGCTAGCAGGCTGTCCTCTCCACCCTACCTCATAACAGAGAAACAAGAACAGACTGCCACTGTCTAAGATGGCTGCCTCCACAACCATAGACAGACAGCCCCAGCCCTACCCATTCAGAGTGCTGCCATATTCATAGGGTTTTCCCAAATGCTGAGTAACTTCTCCTGCTGCATCCTGTTGTTCTGAAGAAACAACATCAAGGGTGGGTGATGCTTGGGCAATAAATAGTGGACATGGTATTGTCACTGGTAAAAGAAGTGAAGGTAAAACCAGGTACGAGAACGTCCCTAGAGCTAAGGGATAGTTAAGTTGGGCGAGTGCTGCCAGTATCAAGCACTATTCTCAGGAGTGTTCAGTGCTGTGACCAACGCTTTCTCTCTTCTAACTCCAACTCCACCCTCCACTACCTAAAGGGAGAGGGACTTCATGTCAGCTAAATGCTGCTGAGATGGGGCTTCCACATTGACCTCATCCAGGTGGTTACACTCACTGGAAAGCAAAGAGGGCGACTTAACATCCCACCATGATCACCTTCAGTGTCTGATACTAAGCAGGCTCCACAGATCCATTGTAGTCAGCCTCCCTGAGACAGAATTCCTGCTAAGCCACAGATGCACATACCATAGCAGACATTGCTGCAGACACTGATCCTCCTCCTGGAGCTGCTGACCTTGCACCAACTGCACGCACAAAGCTGTGAAGAGACTTGGACACAAGGCTCCCATCCTTGCCATCCTGCACCATGTACCTGTGTCAGCAGTTCAAGAAATAACCAATACCATCAGCTCTAGGCAGCTAACCACAAGCAAATGTAGGCAGGCTGAGCTCTCTGAGTGGATCTAAGCCAGGTACAGGGACAGTCCTCGAGGTGGGTCTCTGCCCCAGTTACCACTGGATAATTTCTTGACTGGAGGGTGCAGTTGGGATTAGATGGCACCCTGCAGATTGAAGTATCATGATTCATGGCCCAGCACTGGACGCATCTCAGCGGGGCCTCAAGGTCAGTATTACTGGAGAGGAACTCTGCTCATGTTCAGCAGATCTTATCTATCCTCAACCTTTCATGAATGAGAACTGGTGAGTCCAGAGGCTTACATGTGAAAGCAGTTGAGAGAAACACTTCATATGAGAGGGGTCCTTTTCCCTGCTGAAATGCACAGATTTTCCCATAAAGTATGCCTTTTTACTTTAAAGACTGTGGGGGCAGGTTATTCCCTCCGCTGTATCAACAGAGGAGCCCCTGAACAGGCAGATGTACCTGGGAGACATGGAAGGACATAAATTGCTCCACTTGGGCACTGTGGGTACTGGGCTTCCAAACAGGACAGTGGGGCAAGCCAACAGGCACTGCCAATCTCTATTGCATCCTCACAGTTCCACACGGAATAACCATACGAGAAAGCAGTCATAATCAGGAGTTATCTCCCACTTTTGGTTGGGGTTAGAAACAGAAAAGGGCATGGGAAAAGAAGCACTTTTAGTCTTTAAGTGTGTTTGGGGGGCAGATCCACATGCATTCACACCTCTGTTCTTGAACACTTAGTTTCACTAGCCATGTCCATACTACCTCCCTCTTGAGCCTGGGACAACCACCAAGAAATAAACCCTGCTCACTCAGGGTGAAGTTACATGTTACACTTAGATCACATTAATAGCTCTTAAAAACATAAACATCTACATGTCAAAGCATGTTAACTCATGTTAACTGCCCTCTAAGCATCTCAAAGTTACATCAGTTCAGGCAAAGGTTAACTCTGGACCCTGCTACCTATCTTACTTTAGTGTAACTTCAGTCTGCTCCATAGATATAAAATGAGCAATTTGCAGTCCTCCAGCATTCCAGGATGCACTGCTCCCAGCCACCGCCCTACCCAGAGCAGGATTAGACCCCAAGTGCCCTGGTTCCTAGCCATGCCCCTGCTTGCTAGCCCTTTAGTAGCAACTCAGAGCTGTGCAGGCAAGGAACAGTATTACACCTTAATATGCAACTACTCTCAGCACATTCTGACTTTAACACCGCTTTCCACAGATGTAGTATGGTCTAAGCGTAATGTGTAACCACATGCTCACTATCACTCTGCTCACATCTCGCAATGAAGCAGAATAGACAGCGTAGAAGGGACGTGAGTGCGTGTCCCAGTGGCCCTCTTTGGCCTTCTGTCTGAGGGATGTGTTCTCAGGACTCCTTTAAGCTGTCTACAATTTTCTAATCACCAGTACTAGTTGCATGCAGAGCAGGAGTGGGTAGGGAAGGATTTTTTTTTTGGTGGCGGTTCTGGGCTACGCTGCCACCACTGGTGGTGCCACCACTGGTGGCAGCGTAGCCCAGAACCGCCACTGCCGCCACTACACAGTACATGAATACTCTCCCCAGGAAAAAAAAAACCATACACAGAGCCCTGACAGGACAGCATAATAGCAAAAGTGAAAACACTGTCATTATCCAATCCATAGTACGATCTCATGCACTAGCGTCACTATCTACAAAGTGGCTATCAGTCATTTTGAGCCTAGGATGAACCACATCCTTAGAGGTCAAGCTGTGGTGGCATTTTGGAAGAGATCTTTGAATTAACAGCTTTTTGGAGACTGGATACTGATGGGATGTCCAAGTCACTGACGTGGCCTTCAGGGTCTTAAACAAAACCCCAGGGTGCCGAAGATAAATCAGTGCTCCTTTTAGCTTTTGTCTCCACCCTCTGTCTAATTTTATTCATTGGTGTTGATCTTTGGAGATTTTTATTATTATTACTATTGTTATTGTTGTAGCACCCAAGAAACTCAAACAAGGATTTGGGCTCCACTGTATTGGGCACCACGTGGAAAAAAACAACACAAAAGACAGGCCCAGCCTTCAAAAGGTCACGAAACAGAATTTAGACAATGCACAGCAGGTGAACAAAGAGACCCAGGGAGCAGAGCACGTGAGAACCATTAGACAGGTGTGCTCCTCTGTCACCATGCAGATCAGAATAGCCCAGGGCAAGCATGAGCCTGCTAACGACAGGTATTCTGGGCTGAGAGCTTGAGAGGAGAGGAGAACAGACCTTTAGGAAATGCTGCAAAACTTTATTCTTTGAAAAAACCTTTCCACTCGAAATATGGACCCACCCTTCTATCAACCAAAACAAGGAAATACATAACATCTAAAAACCTACAATTTAAAATGTTAAAATAAAAAGATATTAGCCCCAATACAAGCAGAGATATGATCTGGAAAATGGGAGACTCCTTTCAACACTATTACTAATGACTTTACATGGAACATGCTAGCTATTGTGATGATAAGAAGCAGTGAACAACCCAAGGAAGGACGGAGAAAGAAGAATACATTAGAGTCCTAGTAGTATTGGACAGTCTGTCTAACCCCTATGGAATACCCCTTACCTCTTTGGATAGGGAATCCCAATGTTCAGTGTTGAGAAACTCTTTTACTGAAGACTTTAATGGGAATATATCTTTCCTTTCTAGTTACATAAAAGAACACAGATCCCTCCACATGGGCAGAGTGGGTATTGGGCTTCCACAACAGGACAGTGGCCCAGGCCAACATGCACTGCCATTGTCTAGTCCATCCTCAATTGCATCATCACAATAACTAGCATGTTCCATGCAACATCATTAGTAATAGTGTCAAAAGTCTCCCTTTTTCTGGTTCATAACTCTGTATTGGGGCTGATATCTTCTTATTTTAACATTTTGTCTTTTTGATCTTTTTTGTCTGATGCTAGTAGACTACCATGCACAGTGAGGTCCTGGCTCACAACTGAATTATCTAATTGGTGTGGTAATTAATACATAAATAAACATTACACTGTTATGAACTGAAAACATTCACAAGGCTTAAATGTCCAGTCAAAATTGTACTTAGTTCACAAGCACTTTCAAAAAGAAAAGAACAAGACAAAATTCATTGATTGACATGCTTCTGCTGTCCACTAAGTTTTTCCACCAAACAGGCCATGTCCATATGTGCATGGACATTTGGGTCCCTGGGGACAACTATAGCGTTGTCAAGTCTCATGATTTTTGGCATTGTTCTTAAAGCCTAGGCTTTGGGAATGTGAAAAAGCTTATCTCTTTCTTTTATTTATACAATTGTATTTATATTTTATATAAAATATTACACACACACATATTTTATTTATTTATATATATAAATTTTTCACATTCCCAAAGTATAGATGTTAAGAACAATGTCAAAAATCATGAGCTGGCAATACTGCAACTAGCAGTGGTGCACCTTGTGCCACATGCCCTCTGGTGCGTGGCAAGTTACCCTGGGTAGGGTAGGGGAGCCTGGGGCCAACATTGGGCTGGCCCCAACAGCCTAACCTGGGTTTCTGTGGGCCTCTGGGGCTCCACCAGCAGTGATCCAGCACCTCTCCCTGTGCTGCTCCCTTGCAGTGTGGAGAACAGCTGAACATGCTACTGCATGTGGCACCACAGACATGTCTGTCTGTGGCACCACATACCACACAGTCACACTCATCTGGACACAGCCACACAGGGCAAACTGATGCTTCCAGACCAAGAAAGGCAGATACGCAGGGAATGTTCAGATGTCTTTGGTGGCTTGCTAAAATATGAGAGCTAACCATTAATAAAACATTTAATCTGATAGACAAATCAAAATTAAATTAATCCACTTCTTAAAGAAGACACCATATTACCTTATCAAAGGGAAATGATTTGACATTATTGAAATAAAACCAGAACGCCAAACATTTTTTTCAGCTTTCCTCTACAGTAAATTTTGCCCAGATTGGCACATTCCTGTAAAATGCTTTGATTTCATTGAAACTATATTTGTTGTTGGAAAAGAGTTAAGTTGAAAATGTGCCAACCTGCAAAAACAGTAGCTTTGAAAAAAAATCAAATGCTAAGAAGCTAACCTGTGGGTGACAAGGACTAATATAGCACCAAGTGGAGTACAAATGGACTTCTAATGTCAGTCCAGGAAGGTGATGCTGCCTTTCTGTTTGACAAAGCAACAACTGCCTGAGTGGAGCTAACAAGGGATGTGACAAAGAACACAGAAAAAGTGTCCATACTCAATAATGCGCTCTCTGGTATTAAACGGAGACAAGGAGTCCAGGCCCAGCCTGCTGACCACCTGAAAGAGGAAAAGACAGATTCACTGGAACAGAAAGCTGCACGTAAACCTTCTTCTTTCTGTGGAGAATATTCAAAGAATAATCAGGTAGCCAGGAAACTTGAGTTAGTAATTTGTTGTAACCCATCCAGTGCAGCCTACCCTGAGTCTTGGGCAATGAACACATTCTTCTAAAACAAAACAAAACAAAAATCAATAGTGAATTCAAAAAAGGAACATTATCAAGGCCAGCAACCTAAAACTGGATCCAGGTCTGAGACTGTTCCACCTTCCCCCCACAGTGTCCAACACATACATAATAAAATAGTAATAATTAACTAGCTCTTATCTAGTACTTTTCCCTCCTGGCATTCAAGGGGCCTTACCAAAGACATAAGTACCTTTGTCCCTGTTTAAAACCTGATATGAAAGCTAAAAGGAAACTGGCCCTCTCCAGTTCTACAGCAGTGGTCTGGCATTTAAAACAGCTCTATGTACTTTGAACTAGGAGAGCTGATTATCTTTATATATTTATTTATTTATTTATTTATTTATTTTTTATAGAGCACCATTCTTTGTGACACATACTGCAAGGAAAATTAATGGTTAGGTGGATCTCAGAGACAGTGCCTATTTGTGTAAGGTTCTGGGAAGCTCTGGTGGAGTTTTAATCAATCCATTACGGGAGTGTAGGAATGAAAGAAACTGAAGGATCCTGGATTGTGTCTGGTCCCTGCTATTTCATTCTATAAACCTGGTCACAATCTGATCAAAAACTATCTAAAAAACTGCTGAGCAGGGGCAAAAAAATTGCCCGTTGCCCTCCTGGAAACCCCTTCCAGAGCCTCGCTGTTCCTGTGATTAGAAGCCTTCTGATTCCTGTTCTATATTCATTTGTGGCCAGTATAAACCAATTTGTTCACTGCCAACACTGTCCTTTTGCTTTAACAGCACTCTTGCCTCTCTGGTGTTTACCCTAGATGTACATATCTATCCCTTTCAACCTTTATGTTGCGAAACTAAAAACAAGCGTTTGTAGTCTCCTCTCATAGCATAAAGTGTCCAAGCTCCTCAAATGGATTTCTTAACAATATTAAATTGATTCCCTCCACACAAAGCACTTCTCCAAATTACTATTCATTGGACATTGCCTTCGGTATCTACCATCAATGAATCCTTCCTGATCAGCAAAACTCAGCCCTTCTCAAGAAGGTCATCAGGCATTTCACCTGCCTGGCAGATTTTATGTGGCTGCTATGACATGGCCAAGGCTTTCAGGTTCCTCACTGTAAAGATATGAGAGCGCTCTGGTTTTGCCCCTCTGCACTTGGTCAGGCCCTTCCAGCTTACAGTGTAGCCCTCAGAGGTGCTGATCTGTTCAGTTGAATGCAACTGAGAAGGGCCTAGAAACCCTGAGCTTTCAACTTCTCAGCCTACTTAAGACTTAGGAGAATGCACATTTGCTGCTCCAGTTTTGGCACCAAGAGTGGAATGACTGACAGGTGAATGTTAGTAACAGGATCAAAGATGACTGGTGATGAGTGGTTGCATCTACATGTGCACATTTATTGTACAGTAACCAAAATTACTACACAGTATGGGTGCACATCTACACATGCATGCCTGAACTGGGCAGTAAATATGGCAACTTATGCCAATTTGAGCATAAATTTGATACCTGCATCATACAGGTATCAGATGTCATGGATTCATAGACTGTAAGGCTGGAAGGGACCTCAGAAGATCATCGGGTCCAGCCCCCTGCACCAAGCAGGAAAAAGAACTGGGGGTCAGGTGACCCCAGCAAGGTGACTGTCTAGTCTTCTCTTGAAGATTTCCAGGGTAGGCGATTGCACGACCTCTGGAGGGAGCCTATTCCACAGGCTGGACACACTGACTGTGAAGATGCTTTTCTTAAAGTTGAGCCTGAATCAATCTTCCAGGAGTTTGTGGCCATTACTCCTGGTTTTCCCCTTGGGTGTCCTGGTGAACAGTTGCTACCAAGCCCTTGATGTACTCCCCTAGTGTAGCAGTAAGCTGTTACCAGGTCCTCTCTCAGTCTTCTTTTCCTCAGGCTGAAGAGTCCCAAATCCCTCAGCCTTCCCTCATATGGCTTGCCTTTTAAGACTCTGATCATACGGGTGGCTCTTCTTTGGACTTGTCCTTGTTAAAGTGTGGTGCCCAGAACTGGACGCAGTACTCCAGCTGCGGTCTCACCACTGCTGAGTAGAGCAGAAGAATCACCTCCTTGGTTTTGCTGAAGATGCATCAATTGATGCATGCCAGAGTATTATTTGCCCTGCTGGCTACAGCTTTGTGCTGCTGGCTCAGATTCATACTGTGGTCTGTTATTCCCCCCAGGTCTCTTTTATTTGTGGTGCTAGTCAGTTTGGTGCCACCAAGCCTGTAGGTG